TCAAATTACAGAAAAAAGGAAAACAGAGGAATCAGTCAGCACAACACCCCAACTTATGTTTTGCTGTTGGATATTTATTCTCCTTTTCATTGTTCAGGTTGCGATAATACTGAAAATGCTATGGGGCAGTGTGTATTTTTATTTAACATCATATCTCCCAGAGTTTAAATAGTGAAACGAGAATAAATATCCAACAGCAAAGCATAAGTTGGGGTGTTGTGCTGACTGATTGCTATGTTCTCCTATTGGCTGTAGTTTGATGACGTCACATCTTACTCCACCAATCACGTTTAAGTAAGGGTTTACTGGACGAAAGCAAAATGTACAACAAAACTATGAAGTTCTTGGGGCGATGCTGCTTGTGGAAGGGCCCCTGGGGGCACCGTCGCCCCTGGCAGAGACCCTGCCGCCCCTGGAAAGGCACCCACTGCCACTAGGAGGGCCCATACCAGCGGCGCCGGCCGTAGGAGGGCCCATAGGGGCGCTGCAGCCCCTGGCAGGTTCCTTGGGAGCAGAGGCGCCCCATAGACGGACCCTGGGTTGGGCTACCGCCTCTGGAAGGTCAAATTACAGCCAATAGGAGAAAACAGAGACTCAGTCAGCAACACCCCAACTTATGTTTTGCTGTTGGATATTTATTCTCCTTTTTCATTGTTCAGGTTGCCTGAAAATACTGAAAATGCTATGGGCAGTGTCTATTTATTTGCGTCATATCTCCCAGAGTTTAAAATAGTGAAAGCGAAATAAAATATCAACAGCAAAGCATAAGTTGGACGATATTCTCTAATGGCCTGTGAAGTGACAACCTGTCTTACTCCACCAATCACAGTTAAGTAAGGATTACTGGATGAATGCAAAATGTAAAGACAAAACTATGAAGTTCTTAGGGCGATGCTGCTTGTGGAAGGGCCACTGGGGGCGCCGTCGCCCCTGGTGGAGACCCTGACGCCCCTGGAAAGGCACCCACTATGAATAGGAGGGCCCATACCAGCGCTGAGGGCCCTAGGAGGGCCCATAGGGGCGCTGCAGCCCTTGGCAGGGTCATTTGGGGCAGAGGCGCCCCATAAAGGGACCCTGGGTGAGACACCGCCTCTGGAAGGATCAAATTACAGCCAATAGGAAAACAGAGGAATCAGTCAGCACAACACCCCAACTTATGTTTTGCTGTTGGATATTTATTCTCCTTTTCATTGTTCAGGTTGCGAAAATACTGAAAATGCTATGGGCAGTGTCTATTTATTTAACGTCATATCTCCCAGAGTTTAAAATAGTGAAACGAAAATAAATATCCAACAGCAAAGCATAAGTTGGGGTGTTGTGCTGACTAGTTGCTCTGTTCTCCTATTGGCTGTAATTTGATGACGTTACATCTTGCTCCACCAATCACAGTTAAGTAAGGGATTACTGGACGAATGCAAAATGTGAGACAAAACTATGAAGTTCTTAGGGCGATGCTGCTTGTGGTAGGGCCCCTGGGGGCGCCGTCGCCCCTGGCACAGAACCTGACGCCCCTGGAAAGGCACCCACTATGACAAGGAGGGCCCATACCAGCGCTGAGGGCCCTAGGAGGGCCCGTAGGGGCGCTGCAGCCCTTGGCAGGGTCATTTGGGGCACAGGCGCCCCATAAAAAGGGACCCTGGGTGAGACACACGCCTCTGCGAGGATGTGAAATTACAGCCAATAGGAAAACAGAATCGGTAAGCACAACACCCCCAACTTATGTTTTTGCTGTTGGATATTTATTCTCCTTTTCATTGTTCAGGTTACTTGAAAATACTGAAAATGCTATAGGCAGTGTCTATTTATTTAACGTCATATCTCCCAGAGTTTAAAATAGTGAAACGAAAATAAATATCCAACAGCAAAACATAAGTTGGGGTGTTGTGCTGACTGGTTGCTCTGTTCTCCAATTGGCTGTAATTTGATGACGTTATATCTTGCTCCACCAATCACAGTTAAGTAAGGGATTACTGGATGAATGCAAAATGTAAGACAAAACTATGAAGTTCTTAGGGCGATGCTGCTTGTGGAAGGGCCCCTGGGGGCGCCGTCGCCCCTGGTGGAGACCCTGACGCCCCTGGAAAGGCACCCACTATGAATAGGAGGGCCCATACCAGCGCTGAGGGCCCTAGGAGGGCCCATAGGAGCGCTGCAGCCCTTGGCAGGGTCATTTGGGGCAGAGGCGCCCCATAAAGGGACCCTGGGTGAGACACCGCCTCTGGAAGGGTCAAATTACAGCCAATAGGAAAACAGAGGACTCAGTCAGCACAACACCCCAACTTATGTTTTGCTGTTGGATATTTATTCTCCTTTTCATTGTTCAGGTTGCGAAAATACTGAAAATGCTATGGGCAGTGTCTATTTATTTAACGTCATATCTCCCAGAGTTTAAAATAGTGAAACGAAAATAAATATCCAACAGCAAAACATAAGTTGGGGTGTTGTGCTGACTGGTTGCTCTGTTCTCCTATTGGCTGTAATTTGATGACGTTACATCTTGCTCCACCAATCACAGTTAAGCAAGGGATTACTGGATGAATGCAAAATGTAAGACAAAACTATGAAGTTCTTAGGGCGATGCTGCTTGTGGAAGGGCCCCTGGGGGCGCCGTCGCCCCAGGTGGAGACCCTGACGCCCCTGGAAAGGCACCCACTATGAATAGGAGGGCCCATACCAGCGCTGAGGGCCCTAGGAGGGCCCATAGGGGCGCTGCAGTCCTTGGCAGGGTCATTTGGGGCAGAGGCGCCCCATTAAGGGACCCTGGGTGAGACACCGCCTCTGGAAGGGTCAAATTACAGCCAATAGGAAAACAGAGGAATCAGTCAGCACAACATCCCAACTTATGTTTTGCTGTTGGATATTTATTCTCCTTTTCATTGTTCAGGTTGCGAAAATACTGAAAATGCTATGGGCAGTGTCTATTTATTTAACGTCATATCTCCCAGAGTTTAAAATAGTGAAACGAAAATAAATATCCAACAGCAAAGCATAAGTTGGGGTGTTGTGCTGACTGGTTGCTCTGTTCTCCTATTGGCTGTAATTTGATGACGTCATATCTTGCTCCACCAATCACAGTTAAGTAAGGGATTACTGGATGAATGCAAAATGTAAGACAAAACTATGAAGTTCTTAGAGCGATGCTGCTTGTGGAAGGGCCCCTGGGGGCGCCGTCACCCCTGGTGGAGACCCTGACGCCCCTGGAAAGGCACCCACTATGAATAGGAGGGCCCATACCAGCGCTGAGGGCCCTAGGAGGGCCCATAGGGGCGCTGCAGCCCTTGGCAGGGTCATTTGGGGCAGAGGCGCCCCATAAAGGGACCCTGGGTGAGACACCGCCTCTGGAAGGGTCAAATTACAGCCAATAGGAAAACAGAGGAATCAGTCAGCACAACACCGCAACTTATGTTTTGCTGTTGGATATTTATTCTCCATTTCATTGTTCAGGTTGCGAAAATACTGAAAATGCTATGGGCAGTGTCTATTTATTTAACGTCATATCTCCCAGAGTTTAAAATAGTGAAACGAAAATAAATATCCAACAGCAAAGCATAAGTTGGGGTGTTGTGCTGACTGGTTGCTCTGTTTTCCTATTGGCTGTAATTTGATGACGTTACATCTTGCTCCACCAATCACAGTTAAGTAAGGGATTACTGGACGAATGCAAAATGTAAGACAAAAATATGAAGTTCTTAGGGCGATGCTGCTTGTGGAAGGGCCCCTGGGGGCGCCGTCGCCCCTGGTGGAGACCCTGACGCCCCTGGAAAGGCACCCACTATGACTAGGAGGGCCCATACCAGCTCTGAGGGCCCTAGGAGGGCCCATAGGGGCGCTGCAGCCCTTGGCAGGGTCATTTGGGGCAGAGGCGCCCCATAAAGGGACCCTGGGTGAGACACCGCCTCTGGAAGGGTCAAATTACAGCCAATAGGAAAACAGAGGAATCAGTCAGCACAACACCCCAACTTATGTTTTGCTGTTGGATATTTATTCTCCTTTTCATTGTTCAGGTTGCGAAAATACTGAAAATGCTATGGGCAGTGTCTATTTATTTAACGTCATATCTCCCAGAGTTTAAAATAGTGAAACGAAAATAAATATCCAACAGCAAAGCATAAGTTGGGGTGTTGTGCTGACTGGTTGCTCTGTTCTCCTATTGGCTGTAATTTGATGACGTTATATCTTGCTCCACCAATCACAGTTAAGTAAGGGATTACTGGACGAATGCAAAATGTTAGACAAAACTATGAAGTTCTTAGGGCGATGCTGCTTGTGGAAGGGCCCCTGGGGGCACCGTCGCCCCTGGTGGAGACCCTGACGCCCCTGGAAAGGCACCAACTATGACTAGGAGGGCCCATATCAGCGCTGAGGGGCCTATGAGGGCCCATAAGGGCGCTGCAGCCCTTTTCAGGGTCATTTTGGGCAGAGGCGCCCCATAAAGGGACCCTGGGTGATACACCGCCTCTGGAAGGGTCAAATTACAGCCAATAGGAAAACAGAGGAATCAGTCAGCACAACACCCCAACTTATGTTTTGCTGTTGGATATTTATTCTCCTTTTCATTGTTCAGGTTGCGAAAATACTGAAAATGCTATGGGCAGTGTCTATTTATTTAACGTCATATCTCCCAGAGTTTAAAATAGTGAAACGAAAATAAATATCCAACAGCAAAGCATAAGTTGGGGTGTTGTGCTGACTGGTTGCTCTGTTCTCCTATTGGCTGTAATTTGATGACGTTACATCTTGCTCCACCAATCACAGTTAAGTAAGGGATTACTGGACGAATGCAAAATGTAAGACAAAACTATGAAGTTCTTAGGGCGATGCTGCTTGTGGAAGGGCCCCTGGGGGCGCCGTCGCCCCTGGTGGAGACCCTGACGCCCCTGGAAAGGCACCCACTATGAATAGGAGGGCCCATACCAGCGCTGAGGGCCCTAGGAGGGCCCATAGGGGCGCTGCAGCCCTTGGCAGGGTCATTTGGGGCAGAGGCGCCCCATAAAGGGACCCTGGGTGAGACACCGCCTCTGGAAGGGTCAAATTACAGCCAATAGGAAAACAGAGGAATCAGTCAGCACAACACCCCAACTTATGTTTTGCTGTTGGATATTTATTCTCCTTTTCATTGTTCAGGTTGCGAAAATACTGAAAATGCTATGGGCAGTGTCTATTTATTTAACGTCATATCTCCCAGAGTTTAAAATAGTGAAACGAAAATAAATATCCAACAGCAAAGCATAAGTTGGGGTGTTGTGCTGACTGGTTGCTCTGTTCTCCTATTGGCTGTAATTTGATGACGTCATATCTTGCTCCACCAATCACAGTTAAGTAAGGGATTACTGGATGAATGCAAAATGTAAGACAAAACTATGAAGTTCTTAGGGCGATGCTGCTTGTGGAAGGGCCACTGAATGCGCCAACTCTGTGGTATGGCCCCTGGGGGCGCCGCCGTCCCTGGGAACACCCCTCAAGTCGCCCACGTCCCTGTAAGGGTCACTGGGATCGCCGCTATCCCTGTGAGGGTCACTTGGCCATGCAAGGCACGGAGGCGTCCCGAGGGCCCTCTCAGGGTCGGCGGTGCCCCCAGGGGACCTGTCAGGGGCGCTGGTTCCACCAGGGGCGCTCTTAGGGACAACCGCAATCCTAGAGGCCTTCTCAGGGATGGCAACGCTCCAAGGGACCCTCGCAGGGATGGCAACGCTCCTAGGGACATTCACAGGGACGGCGGCGCCCCCATGGGCCCTGCTATGGGCGCTAGCTACCCTAGGGGCGCTAGCGACCCTAGGGACCCTCACAGGGACAGCCTTGATCCCTGGGGCCTTCCCTGGGACAGAGGCGCCTCTAGGTACGTTCCTAGTGACGGTGGTGCTCCCAGAGGCCCTGCCAGCGGCGGTGGCGCCTTCAGGGGCCCTTCCAGAGGCGGTGGCTCTCCCAGGCCTCTTTATGGGGCGCCACTGCTCCCAGGGATCCTGCCAAGGCCTGTGGCTCACAATAGGTCCTCCTATGGGAGGCAGTGCCCCAATACATTGGATAGTGGTGTCGTACATATTGCTTTTTGTCGTATATATCGCTTTTGGGAGGGCCCCTGGAAGCGTCACCGCCCTTGAGAGAATCCCTGGCAGCGACATCGCCCCTGGAAGGTCTTTGTTAGCAGTTGTGTTTGCACTATTTATATATCTGAGAGATATAACGATAAATAAATATACCTTTAATCATATTTCTAGTGTCATCACAACCTGAACAATGAAAAGTAGATTTTATTTCCAACAGGAAAACATAAGTTGGGGTGTTGTGCTGACTGATTGCTCTGTTCTCCTATTGGCTGTAATTTGGTGGATTTACATTTTAGTCCACCAATCACAGTTAAGTAAGGGATTGCTGGACTCATGCAATATATATGACATCAGGATGAAGCCTCTGGGGCGCCGTTGCCCCAGGGAGGGCCTCTACGGGTGCTGTTACCCCTGGGAGGACCGCTGGGACGCTGCCGCTCTTGACAAAGCCCCTGGGTGCGCCACCATCGCTGGGAGAGCCCCTGGGGGCACTACCGCCCCTGGAAGGGCTCCTGGGGTCGCCAACGCCCCTAGGAGGTTCCATGGGAGCACCCACACTCCTGGGATGACCTCTGACCCCTGGCTTTGCTAGGGCCTCTGGGGCCCCCTGGGGCCTTTGGCCTGTCCTGGTAATACCATGGGGCCCCTGAGGGGCCTTCTGGTAGTCCACTGGGGGCCTGGCAGGGCCCCAGGGGGCATCCCGGTAGTCCCATGGAAGCATGGTAAGCCCTCTTGTACTCCTCTATGGCCCCCTGGTAATCCCATGGGGCCCCTTTAATTAAAATATTCCAGTCGTCATTACAACCAATAATTACCCCGCAATCGAATTGTGGACTATAAATTCGTAATCAGCATGTTCAAGAGCACTGGAGCCTGTATTTGGGGTGCACTTTAGTCTATTTTCTCTTTTAGGTCCACATACACATGCAACTTAAAGGAAATCTTGCACTCAGAATGGAGGTGAGAAAGGAAACTCAAAATTGTCTTAACCCAACGTATATTGTATATACAATGCTGTAGGTTGGTGGAGAGTTGTGTGGTTGAGGAGCTTCAAGAGAGTTGGTGTTGTCAGGTGGAGAAGGCGGAGTAGAATGACCTTTACGGCGAGGCAGGGGGGTATTTATCCAATCCTCCCTACTCAAGGATGCAGGCCGTGGTGTGAGCGGCGCTGCTGATTGGCTGATGGTGAGGACAGCTGCCAGTGAGGGAGGGTGGCTCGAGTAGGCCAAGCACCTGTAGGGAAAGTTAACCAATACAATACTCCCCCTCCCCTCCGGGCGCTGCAGGATGCTTGTTGTAAGCATAATGGCATCCCACGTGCGAGGCATGGCAGGAAGGGGTGCGAACCACTCGGCCGCTGAGTGACAACTCCGTCGAATGGCTCATAATCTGTGGGAGAATCAGCAGGAAAAGCATTGGGAGTGGGAGGGTTGTACATATGAGAAGGGTGAGCGGTGGGAGGAATAAGCGAGGAACGTGATGCTTCTCTCGCGGCAGATGCGAAGTCCTCGGGGGCGCTGGGTGGGATGTCTGGGTCTACAGGGCCAGGTGCAGGATCATCAGGAGCAGGACCAAGAGCAGTGGGTACCTGAGGATGAAAAGACGGCACCAAGAAATGTTGTGGACGAGGTGGTGCTGCAAGTAGCAACGGTGGGCAGACTGGTGAAGGAGGCGCAGGCGTGGTTTGCTGGGGGTAATGCTGGGCTGGGGCACCATCGGGTAAGGTGTAATTAAAATCTTCCAAGCATCATTACGACCACTAATTACCCCGCAATCGAATCATGGACCTATGATTCAGAGTCAGTTGTCTTTCACATTACTAGATTTTATAAGTATTCAAATCAACTAGTATCATCAGCAAGATTCTATTTGAGGGATAAGATTCATATACTTGGTACTATATACTGTAAATGTTGTAAAAGTTGACCCAAAGTGATAATATTGAATTTCAAGCTGAATGTGAAGTTCATTCGTACTTCACACCAATAAATAATGGGTGTACTGAATAAGACCATCATTATAAATACAGTACAGAAGTTCATTGCTTCTCTATAAGGTTGAACAGACCAAAATACAGTTACAACAGCCCACTTCAGGTCAGCTTTCATTTCAGAGACAAGCTCATACTTATAAGCCCTAACTATTGTAAGTTATCAACTTTACTTTTTTTTCACCCATGAGCCAAAGTTGAGTGAGCCTGTTCAAAAATATCCCCTACAATGAGTAAAGCCGCTACATCACAATTAAAATAAATATATTTGTAACCTGTACATGACAGCTACGGTTGCACAGTAATAAAATTAACAAGAAGTCAATAATATTTTTCTATACAAAATATACCACAAGTATCTATCATGAGCAAGGATCCAACTACACTATTATTACTAACATGATCTATTCTTTCTTGGTCCTGATTTCTCTTTTAAATCCTCCCTCTCCAAAAAAAGGCATATTATACATACCAATGGCTTCAAGTGTGACAGGTGGCACCCACATGGGGGCTAACTGATGCTCAGTAACCTGATAAAAAAAAGCCAAGACAAATTTTCAGAAATAAGTGTCAACACTCACAGATAGTATACAGTACAGTACTATGAAATATAAACTAAATTATTTTCTTTTCAACTGATGTCGAGTAGAATGACTTCGTCTTAAATGATCAACAAATCAACAATATAAGCAAAGTTTATGCTGCTTTGTTAGGTTTCGTGTTCTTATAACTCTGACTTGTATAGTTTACTAAACCTCATGAAGAACAATGATGGTAAATCAATAAAAGAATTATGTAAAGATAATCCATTATTTGTCAAACAAATGTATTATTTGTTTTATGTAAAACAAAACTCCATGTCTCATCTACACATTTGTTTCCCACTCAAGCTGCTACACCACTCGTGAAATGAACGTCCACCTTTATGACGTCCTCAAACTGCACAGTACTGTACTACACTTCCGTTGGCCCAAGTCTGCTACACAGTTCCACCATTTCAGACACTGCAACCCAAAAAAATAAATATAAACACAAGAGAAAACTGCTATCATAAAATCTTTCTACAACGAGATAACTTAAACTATAATTAAACAAATTCTAAAGTAAAAATACATCTTGCCACAATAACAGCCAAATTCATGTGAAGCCGGAGATAAATGATGATAAAAGGTTAAACTAAAATCAAAATGACTGAAAACAAAACATTATTAATACATAGTTGAATAATATATATACATAGATAGACGGTTACACGAGTATAGATGGATACTTAACTGGGAAGCAACTCAAGCTGACCATGGATAGTACAGCTATTATTACCACAAAGCAAGAACGAATATTAACGTCAAGAGAGTTGTTGGTCATTTATCCAACAAATACGAGTCTGCCATCGTTTGGCTTACACGATGAATATAATAGATAGATAGATAGATAGATAGATAGATAGATATAGTTACTGTGAAAAACCTCTTGTACGAAAAGAGATTTACATTGAGTCAGTACGGACCAGTAAAAGTGAGTCCGAATAAACTGAAACTCAAGGATACGAAAATTTTGGATTGTGCAATAAGTAAAGTTATTGGAAAATATTACTTTGAAAGATTATCTACATTATTGCTGTCTGTTGGTGAGTTAATATATGCTTCTGTGAAACTGTTCTGCTATTAGTGGATGTTATTTTCTCGTACGGTAATTCCCATACTATAACTACTATTAGCTCGATCTTAGCTTATTTGTATCGCCTGAATATTACCTCCACCAAGCTTATTTCAACTTAACGGCTACGCTACGGGACGCCACGTATAATATTTCATTCAGATACTCCACGTAGAGTAATCAGGTGAAATAGGCTAGGGGGGCTAATCTTCAGGTGATCCGATGATATCTCTAACAGCGACAGGTCGACAACTCGAATGACTCCAGCCGTCTTCACCTGTCATGCTGTACGATAATTACAACAAAAATTCCTTCTTAAATCACATTAAACTTAAACTAGATTTCATTACCAGTATGTAAACTAAATAGTTATTAATTTTAGAGTGTTTTATAACAATCTATTTTAGTAATCTGAAAGGAATACGATGTTTTATATGGAAAGTACAGTAATGTGTGACTCGGCTACTCGAGCAGAGCAAACTGTCGTAATAATTGACTATGGTCGCTACGGTGTCGTTAACCAACTAAATTTTCATTATTCTTATGACTATCACATCTTTGTTGACATGTACGGTTTATCACTAAGATTTAAGTTTTATATAGAAAGATTATTAATATAATAATTTAGGTTGTACCATAATTCGTTACAATACACACCCAGGCCAATTACAGGCTTCTACTGTTAACAAATGCATAATACTACCCGCCTTATTGTTATTATTAGTAGTAGCAGTAGTTGTTGTTGTAGTGGTCGTAGTACTACTAGTAGTAGTAGGATGGAGGCCACTATATAAAAAGTAGTAGTAGTAGTACTCACTGTAATAGTAGTAAGTTAGCAACACGATTTAGGTTCAAGAAGAATATTAAAATTAAAATCATCGATCATTTATTTAATTTTCTTTTTAATCTTGTATTTATTTTATATAATTCTGATATTACTAATTATCCAAAGTGTGTTGCTAATAATGTAAATACATATGTGATAAGGGAAGGAACGAAACAGTTTATGGTAGAAGTTCAAGATGTCACGGCTATAGTGGTAGTAACGTAGTCAATAAAGTTGTTGACTAACTAGTTAATTACTGGTGTTGTCTTAAACTACCGGCCAGTAGTTACCTTGTTAATTTAATAATTTCTTCCTGACAAGATGGAAATAACGGCAAGATAGTTTTATACCACCTACCCACACACACCAGCTAGGCCCGGTCTCAGAGGGAGGGGGGGGGAGCTATATCATACATTAGGGTAACAAACTACTCTGTCTTAACACCAAGTAAACAAAAGAATGGTGTATAGAGTCATTTTTGTACACAACTGTATACTTTATCATGGTCGGGAATTTCCCAGATTTTTAACACACAAACTGTTTACAAGAGGTTGGTAGAGTGATGGTGAATGCAGAGTGCCAGACCACATCCGGGGTAAGGACGGGAAGCCACCTCGCACGATAAAAGTCAAGTGTTTCTCACCCTCGCCCCATGACAGTGTCCGTCCACCATCTGCCTCCACGGCTCCACCATCATCAGTCTCCACCCTACCCTCTTCATCAGCCTACTGCGTCACACACCTGATCTATCTTTCCAGTCAGTAATCTCCCGGTATACATATCTTAGGATCTGATGTGATGTGTATGTAACGTTAACTGGGGGAATGAAATGTGTCAAACGCGATTTGCAAGTGATGTATCACAAGTTACGGGACTGGGCTAAATTGAACTAATCTTTATGACGTGTGAATAGATAATGCCCCTCCAAAGAAAGCTGGAACCACAAGACGATACTTACGTTGAAGTATCTGATATATTTACGTCTTGGTGTCCCGTCGGGTGATAATCCCTTTCACGTTTGTTTATCTTTTCCCCAAACCCTGACGCCACAGCCCACGATGGACGACATGGAATACGACGCCATCAATATCGAAAAATTTTCTGTGCCCCTGAACCTGGGATCACCCACGACGCCCAGCTCTGATAGTAATGACAAAGATAAAGTCAGAACGGAGGCCCAGGATGAATTTGTAGTGCTGGGTATAGAAGACCACAGAGGCGAAGGAAAAAAGAAGGAATCTGATGGAGCTGAAGGAGAGATAAGAGAAGAAAGTCGGAACAGAGACGATAACAAGAGTCCTCATGATGGTGAAGAGGACAGTCAGAGTCCCGGTGTAGATACGAGTGAACAAGGACTCCACAAAACACCCCAAGAGGACGATAAAAAACACGGTATCTTAACTGGTGAAGAGGGGCAACAGGTACAGACAGGCAGGAGTGATGATGAAGACCAGGTGGTGGTGAGCAGGGTGGCGAGTGAGGGTGACCCCGCCAGGAGACACACACACACACCCGCCCACCACAAGGTTCTTCCCTGTTGTTTTGGTGAGGTTGTGTAACTTTTAGGGAATCTCGAGGAATTATAAGGACCCTACTGGAAATAAGTCTCTGGTGGCTTTGTTGTATTTAAGGGAGAGGGGGGGGTTGAATTTAAGGGAGAGGAGGGGATGTACTTAAGGGAGAGGAGAGATTGAATTTAAGGGGGGGTTGTATTTAAGAGGGAGGATGGGTTGAATTTAAGGGGTGAGGGGTTGTACTTAAGGGAGAAGAGGGATTGTATTTCAAAGGGGGTTGTATTTAAGGGGAGGAGTTGTAACTAAGGGGTTGAGGGGGTTGTATATACGGGGAGGAGAGGTTTCAGGGGTTTGTATTTAAGGGGAGGAGGAGTTGTAATTAAGGGGTGAGGGGGTTGTATATACGGGGAGGAGAGGTTTTCAGGGGGTTTGTATTTAAGGGGGAGGAGGAGTTGAAATTAAGGGGGTGAGGGGGTTGTATATACGGGGAGGAGAGGTTTTCAGGGGGTTTGTATTTAAGGGGGAGGAGGAGTTGAAATTAAGGGGGTGAGGGGGTTGTATATACGGGGAGGAGAGGTTTTCAGGGGGTTTGTATTTAAGGGGGAGGAGGAGTTGTAGGTATAAAATGTGGAACACCTTAAGATTAGACACCCCGGCTTATTTCACCAGACGATTATCCACCCTGAAGTTAACTTACTCTAACCTAACCTAACGCAACAGTCAGGGTCAGGATCTTTAGGTGAAATAAAGTGGGGTGTCTAATCCTCAGGTGATCCTAAAAGTAAGTCTTAATTGCTATTTGTTGTATACGAGTGGAAATGAAGACCGTGTGTGTGTGTGTTGTCAACAAAGAGGTCATGTTATTTCAATGATACGATGTTTCATCTTTTCCCCTTCCAGAGTCTTCACGGTACACCATGCAAACGATCCAAACGGCTGAGTACCACGAAGATGACGACGACAGCGATTCAGAGTCATCAGATAGCGCCTCGACTTACGCATCTCACATGTCACAGGACTCTGAAGACGGGTACGAACTGGTGCGGACCCTCCGTCACTATCGCCGTCGACGCCACCGCTCCTCTGACAGCAGCACCACTGACTCCCGGTGCTCCTGCGAGTCATGCGCCTCTAAGAGCAACACGTCCTTCTTTGGCAGTGAGGAGGGGCCACCGGGAGGCGAGGCCACCATCTACCGCCGAGCTGTTTTATGGCTGGAGAGCATTAAATACCTGTAAGACTCTTCCCATTCTGGCTTATATGTCTCCTCTTATTATACCTCTTCTTCTCTATGTCTAATGCCCGGATACTTCCTACTTTCACTCATAGAAATTGTACCTGTTTATGTCACTGTCATTCACTATCACTGCTATTGTACCTTTTTATGTCACTGTCACACACTGTCAATCACTATCACTCACAGGTGGGGTCTGTTTATCTACGGGATGCTGGCCTTCGCTACCCTGTTCACCGTGGCAGCTGTGTGGGCCATGACACGTGACACGGAGTCGGACAAACAGATCGGGAACAAGATGCTGACATGGGCGTAAGTATGGTAGATCAAGCACATGGGTATGGTGTGTTTGTTAGTATGTTTACATTATTTGTTTACTTTGTGTTGCTTGATTAGACACATGTTTTATTTATTTATATTGTGTGTTTGTTAAGACTTTGATTTCATTAACACATTTCCTTTTTTTTTTAGTTTCCGATTAAAAATTTGTTTTTTTAATTATTATGTTTGTTTAGTATTCTGTTTGTTGGTTTGTGAGTTATTTATTTGTTTGTATTACTGCAGTTTTGTGTTTATTGACAGGTTACCGATGCTAGTGGTGGTGGTGGTAGTGATCATCGTGTGGAGGGCTGGTTGGTGGCTTCTGCTCCGGAAAGGTTACGGCAAGGTGAGTGCGATAGGTGGTGGTGGTGATGGACTGACTAAGGATTAAAGTAATAGTAGTAGTAGCAGTGGTAGTAGTGGATGGGCTAGTGGCTGGTATTAGCAGTGGAGGTGGTCAAGTAGTATGCTCCATGGAGGGGAAAAAAAAAGATATCACACCCTGTATTATTGAATCAGTTTCCCACATCACTGAAACTTGACCAGGTAGATGATGATAATGAATAAGTAATCAACTACTATAGACATGTTGACCATGAGATCATATTCAAAGGTTGTCATTGTACTCAAGGAATTAAGAAACTTGGAAAATAAAAATTATATATGGATTACTTTATACTAAGTGAATTTGACCATTTTCATTATATTATTCAAACAATTGATTTCATTTGTTTAAGAGTAAATTTTGATAGTTTGGACTAGATTCTAAGCACATTACATTAAACTCTAAAACAAATGTCTTGCATAATTGTATTAATCTAATTTAATTTTAATCTTTTGGTGTTACTATTTAAAGTACAATGTACAATATATATGTATGTATGTATAGAGGGTATAGGCACATTATTAATCACACCCTGGTACTGTACAGGGGAACCACACAGTTGACCGCAGGAACATCATTACATTCGCCCAGAAGAGGAGGCTGGTGTACACCGTCAGGGGAGTCATGTACGTATGCCCCATCATGTGTACTGAATCTTATGTATGCATACCTATCACATGTATTCACTTTTATGTATGTACCGCATCATGTATACATTATACTCTTATACTGTATATATACAGTATATCCCGTCATGTGTACACTTATATTCTTGCACGTATAAACACTCAACTTGTTACAAATGAATTATCAACAATGTGTAATTTTCACATTACACAAAAATGTTTGCAACATTAGTGTTGGAAATACTTCAACTTTTGTTAACTCTTCACTCTTTCTTCAGCTATGCACCAATCAGACCCAATCCAGGTGGGAAGAACAAGCCGTTTATGTATGACAAGGTGTCTTACGAGAGTGAGTACGACTCTTCCAACTACTTTGATAGTGACCTAGAGCCTGACGGGCAGTACCGCAGGGACAACACCCCATGGAGGGAGATAGGGGACCCCGTCAACAGGGAGAAAAGGAATATCTACACCCGTAAGGCTTGGTTGAGAGACGTGCCCATCATCTGGTGGGAACTGTGGACAGAACCTCCTAGGGATTTTTAGGTCTTGTGAGGATTCAGGGAATAACAGGGAAATTCTAAACTTAACACAGGGAGAGCTTGGACAAGTGTTGTCATTAGATTTGTTCACCGAGACGTCGTCCTTTATGTCCAAGACTCAGGGTGTTAGAAGCTGGGTATTGTGAACTGTTGGAAGATAGGCGATTTTTATTTTTTTTAATAGTTTAGAAAAGTCTTGACAACTTCAATCATTCAGTAAAAATAAATGAAAGATATATTGTACTGAATGATAGACATTTATGTAAAAACAAGGACGTAAAGTTCCTATACAGCTTCAATAAGGAATTTTTCACAAACAATCTAAGGCAATACTTTATACCGACCAATGGTAATATTATATAAAGACTTAAATAAGCAGTTCCAACAACATCCACAAGGAAATTAATCATGAAGTAAAATGGGAAACATATTGTACCTAACATTGTCTAGAATTAAAGTACCTAAGAAATACTAAAAATAATTGTGACAGCTTAAACGAGTACTGTATATAGAGTATCCACGACCATGTAACAGTGTCATTAGTGGTGCTAAGTGATATGTATTACATTATCTATAGTTCTGGAGTTAAATGTTCTGACTTGTCTACCAGACACACAAACACAAAACGTATATTAGTGATAAACTTTTACAGATACTAGTAGGATGTGTGGTAATAATTCCTTCCTTTATTTTGGTTACAAGAAAAAAAAAAAAATTATATATATATATATATATATATATATATATATATATATATATATATATATATATATATATATATATATATATATATATATATATCCTTACATAAGTTGTTGTTATACTAAAAGTAAATATATTACGTATAACTTGACATTTCTTGAGTTTCATACCCAAATTATTGTTCTTGTGTGAATGTCTGTTTATGTGTGTACATATGAGCATTTTTGTGTGTGTTTGTATGCCTCTGCATGTGTGTGTATATGTATGTATCTTTGTATGTGTAATTAATTTGTGTTTGTTTATGTTTATATGTTTTATATGGCAAGGACTGGTGTTTGGGTGAGAAGCGTGGACACTTTCAGCAGACACCAAAAAGAGGTTGGAGGCATTGTGTCAGACGGGCCCTTTGCAGTGTCATGTATGGTGAGGGCCTTGACATGTAGAACACTTGCCCGGTGGGGAAGTGAAAGATCATCTACTAACAGGTGCTGTCTAAGCCAACAGTATTTGTGATCCAGCAAAGGTAAGCTGAGGATGCAAGTCACTCTTAACAACAACAAATCTTAACTTACACTAACTTAAAAATATTAAAACAGAGCTAAATAACCATCATAATAACTTTCACTTGACTGAGAGTGAGTTACACCACCCGAGTACCAGTGTATAGAGTTACAACTGAAAAGTATATACAGGTACAGTATGTCGGGTGACAGCCAAAAATAGCACCAGGCTTTGTGATGGTCGTGACCAGAAATGCAACTCCCAGCTAGTATATCAGGGGTTTGTGAGTGAAGTAATCTCCTACCTAGAGACAAGGTAACATATCTGGCTGACTCAATTAAGGTATATTTAATGTTGAAGTTGTTCTCAAGACTAACTAGAATTAACACAACGATTTCTTAATTACCAGTTTAGAGAAGTCTCACTTATCTTTGAGAATCTGGTCCGAGTAATCTAGCTCATTATTTCTCTACTCCTTTCTATCCCTATTCTTCCTTATCCATTTCTCCATCCCTTCTCATACTGTGTATATGAGGCAGCACAGAAAGGAAGGGAGTTTCTACTGCATTCTTTGGATCTGTTATAGCTTACGTAACAATATACAAGATGCCAACAATGTTCAACACTTATTTTTATGTCACTATCGGCACATAATGTAGAAGCTACTGTACCTTAACTTCGTACCTTAATGTATACTTGTTATCTTAGTAAAATTTCTAATTCCTATATTCACTAAGAAAAATTACAGATAAAAGACTCCCTTTTAAGTTTGTAACATTGCTGAACACTCACCTTGCAAAAGTCCTGCTGGGTGGCACTGACAGGGGCAGCACAGAGGGAGGAAACACTGATGCCCACATTGCGCCCCTCATAACGCTGTGAGCATGCACTCCCATTTATTGTCCTCACCACAGCGATCATCCCCTCCCCTGTAACACCATTCAACACTTTTATAAAGAAGCCTCGTATGATAACACCACCAGATTCTAAAAAATTTGAACATAATATTTGCCTTGACAATGTATGTATCTATAGATAACATTGAGTTCCAGTGCAATTTCAACAGTACCATTTGAGCCGCCACCTCTATGTCATACCTTACATTAACCAGTTACAGTAAGTGCATTTGTAGGATACTGTTAGCTTAACAATAGTGATAATTCAAATTCAACTATTTTAATTAGAAGCCCCATATCACAACACAACACTTAAAGAAGGGAAAGTTCTGGGGTAAATTGCCGAAGCCTAATTCATTCTAGACAAAACATCCCACAATCATGAAATCATCATTGTCACGAACTCACCTGTGCCCCAACCCATAAGGATGGTCCTGTGGCTGGTGAGGTTGGTGTGGGCATCGAGGTCATTGAGACACACCAATAGAAGCCAATCCCTGATGATGTCTCTCCTGCTGTCTGCCACTAAAGGTGATGGCCACCTTGAGCTGCACCAGAGTGACATTGTTGTCAGTGATGGCCTTACCTAGAAATGTGTTAGGAAGCCAATTCACAAATTTATATCCATCTCTTTTACCTCATGGACTTGTACTGTATACAAAATTTTTTGCACTTTGTAGTTTATTTCTGAACAGGGTATTTGAAACTGAATTTACAGTGATTTCAGGGACTGCAGCCCCCACAACACACCACCAGTGAGGCATGCCTACAACCACATATACTGTAGTACAAAAGCCTGCAGGATATAAACCCCTTGGAAAATATTTGCTTCAATGTAGTTTTGTTTTACCAGTGTGAATGTAGCTTAACCAAATTTTCTTAACTGATGTTTTATAATTAGTAAATAAATGTTCAGATAATAATCATTTATTTTTCATGCTGGCCTCTCTAGGAATAATTATCTTTATTTGGGGTTTACAGGTAGACAAATACCATCAACCTAAACTGATTTGTACTGTGCTGCAAAAGCCCCAAACTATGTAAACTGGAAGGTTCCCCTATTGATTTCACCTTGGGATTACAGGGACCCAAAATACATGCATGTACAGTATTGTATATGTTATTTCCTTGGTCACTTTTCTTTTTTCGAGAAACCAAGCATACAAAATTATCAGATAGATGGATCCACTCATGGCAATATTCCTCATGACCTGGCAGCCAAGGGTTTAAAATTTGTATCAGATGAAATATTTGACTCAAGATATGGATGGAAAAAGGAGGGGGCTCAAATGCAGAGCACATGACATCTCATCCATAAGATTCGAAAATAGGGATAAAGGTTAATAACAATCACAAATTTATCACATGATTTATTTACCTGCTAGCTGCATGATCCATAATACAGTATGAAGACTAAAAGTTATGTATAAATGAAGATGAGCTGAACTGAAGTAATGATAATGCAAACTGTGGTGAAAACTTGCCTCTTTAAAAACACTCAGCCTTAGTACAGGACATCTTTTAAGTTAGTAGCATATGCAATCAACTCAGAGATCAAATCAATACCAAAACAACCATTCATGTGATGTGACACGATGATGTACACATACAATTGAATTCACATTATCCAGACCAACTCGTAGTACAGAAGATGTTAAGCTGTTCTACTTGAACTGACACACCCAGAGCTCTGTTACACCTAAAAGCTTTCAATATTGTACTGTACTTTATTAAATTTTACCACGATGCAAAAAGTGAAGAAGCCCTAAGTTCTTCAATTAACACATCACTTAAGAAGGAAATATTGCATAAGCTCACTAAGAAGCCATGAAGAATATGTACAGTACTGTACTATATTCCATCACATCTGATACCTTGCTCAAGATGAAAGTATTAATGGCAACTCCTCAACAAGGCCAAAGCACTTCAACAACTCTCTTGGATACCAGACTCAAAAAGATAAGGTTGCAAAAACACTTCAAGAAGCTCTAAAGTATCATTCTGACTTCGTCACCTCCCTCGGAAAGAAATTGTTAGAGACTCACTACTTCAACTAATTAAAGTGTCATCCCAAAGGACAATTAGTGCACATACCAATTCCCAAATCCCAGAATACTGTAATTCATTCTCTCTTTGATGCACAGCTTAAAGAAAGAACAGTGCAACAATTTCTAAGTAACCTTTGATAAGTTTGCAAATGAATCTAGTATGAATACTGTACTGTAATTTACGAGCTGAAACATTAAATGAGATGCTTGATCATTATATGTGAAGTATTCAAAATTAAATATGGGAAAAAATCAACTTTGCCCATTTTGAATATAAATAGAAATTGGACTTGATTTGTATGGATAGATGACATGGACAGATAATTTTCTATGGACTCTTAGAAAAATGACATGTTTGATATAAATGAAATGTTCAAGTCATTATACACTGCACAAGCATTCAAATTCTTCAAGATCTCACATTATACAGGTACACAAGAAAATTCAGGACACTGAATGAACATATACTCTTTATTCACAAGCATGCAGAGGAACATGTCATTATGAAAAGGTTTGATTAGTAAGTAATTAAATTAAAAAAATCACTATTTCTCAAGTTGAAATTTTCCTTGAAGTATCTTTCCACTGTATAAAAATATCACTTAATTCTAACAATGAGAAATGGTTACTGGACTGCTTAGATAAGTTTTGTAATACCTGACATCAAATTTAATATCTGAAATTTACACCCAGCTGAAAATAAACGTGTATTGCTTCCCACTGGGTAAAGTTATAGTCATTGATCTTGCACAAGACAATGTTATTTTTATTCTTCATAAAATAATGGGTAAGGTTCCTTAAAAACCAATCACTAGCTGAATTTTCGTATTTCAAATAACAGTACAGTACAGTACAGTATAGTATATGGAAAAAATAGGGTTTGGCTCCTCAATGACAAGAAATCCCCAATACTGTATCATACCTAAAAAAAAGAAATAGGTTCACTAACAAAAAAATCTACCTAACGACAGTAAATTAGTACCAAACTACAGTACTGTAATTTAGTCACTAACTACAGTATTGTACTGTACAAGAGAACCTCAACATTATACCTAAAATATAGGAAAGTGGTTAACAACAAAAAACTTACCAAACTAATATACAGTAAATTAGTACCTAACTACTGTAATTTAACTCTTAAAGCCCAGGTGACGTTCCTCTACATCCTTAATTTTCATGGCATAGTTTGAATGTCCAAGCAGGATGAAGTACAATGATATCTCCGCATTGCCAGAACAATTGGTGCAGAGCACTTCCGGGAAAAAATCCCTCAACCCTGGAATTTTCCGGGTAACGGAAAAATGTTTCCGAAAGTTTCAGAAATTGCCCATTACATCATCTCTCGGACCCCCAAAAATATCCCTCATCCCTGGAATTTTTCAGGTAACGGAAAATTTTCTCGGAATTTCCAGAAAACGCGCCTGATTTTCATCTCTCAAACCCGGAAAAAAAATCCCCCATTCCCGGATTTTTCCTGGTATCGGAAAAATGTTTTCTGGATTTTCCGGAAAATGTGCCCCTCAGAAAATCGTTCCCAAAGCCGGAATTTTCCTGAAAATTCCGGCTTTGGGAACAATTTTCCGAGAAAATTTCAATTCCGGCTATCGGAGAGTCCCGGGTTTGAGGGATTCCAGCTAACTGAGATATTACTGTATTTTCTATAGGATATTCATTTACTTGGCAACTCAACTCACATGTAATCTTTGTCTCAAGTCTAGTGGTCAAGTTACCCATCAGTTATCATGATGGATGCATGTCCTTTGATGTCTCGTGCCCTGCCTTGCTCCTCCACACCCTCAACAGTAATGCTATTCATCAACAGTTGCTTGATTTAATGGCTTTCATATAGTATTGGGTGACAAAGACAGTGATGGGATGGAAACAGATCCAGATGATGTCGAGTTTGTTGAGGCGGCCAGCGGTAAGGACAGTGGTACAGACAATGGCGCTCGCTCCCTCTCCCCAGTTTTAAACTGGGGATTTAATTTTTTTTTTTTTTTTGGGGGGGGGGAGGCGAAATATGACATCATAGGGGGTCCGACAGGTCTTACGTTGCCCAAAACACAAGGGATAAGGGGTCAAGCAGTATTCATATAAACGATAATAGCTTTCATGTAATAAGAGGTGTAAGAATAGAAAGTTCATATAAGCAAATTTTCGTAGCTCAAACGTGGCAAGGGTTATAATGATGATGCATTTCTGCTTCCTAATTGTCACTTCAGTAAATTCCATGTTCCCCCCGCACCACTAGATTTGCAGACTTTACACCAAAACAAATATCTTAATGAAAATTCCAAAATAAACAGTACAGTATGTAAAAAATACTAACAAAAAATCACTCCTTACCTATTCACTGCCATGTAGAATGACTTTCTTTATAGTGTTAAGTAAACATAGTAAAAGTTCGGTAGTGCTGTCTTTACTGTAAAGCAAGCATAATAAAATCATGATCACAATTATGACAGTGCTGTCTTCAATTTACACATTGCAAAAGTATGGGAATGATAATAATGTAAACTTGTTAAGTACCCATAGTAAAGGATGGTGATGATAATGATGGTGGTGGTCTTCAGTGTAAAGTGACCATTTTAAAGGATGATGATAATGTCAAAAATATAGCAGTGAAAATTTCAATGTTTGATGGATCAATGTTTATTTCTAACAAAAATGGAAACCTACCATGGTATGCATTTAAACTCACGTAACGAATGATATGCTACATGCATGACTCTAAGTTTTCACAATCAAACTTTTATGCATGGCAAGGCAGTAAGATGGAACAAATGACCATAAATGAGGGTAGAATCTGTGTTACTCTTGATTTCAACCACCCCACAACATATAAAGTAAAGGCTTCCCCGAGAGAACAGTTTAATTAAAAACTATGGCTTAGCAGACCATTTATTATGTTGGAAGATATGCAGTGCATTAACCCTTAGAGTATAGTGGACCACATGACGTTTAGGTTTTTCGTGCCATTGTTTGGGTGCGCTTGTGGCGGTACTGTTGTCTGGTTATTATGACGGAAAATGCATATCAAGCCTTTCCTGAGACCAGCAGAAATGCCTTTACAGAAATAGGAAGTCTAGCATAATCTCAAGAGCCATAAGGCAGCTTGATGATGGACGACCAGTTGAAAAGACATGAAAAAGTACTGAAGTGTTTTCTGTTGTGACTGAGGATTCAACTTTTGTAATATATAAAGTTATAATGGAGTAGATCCTTGCACACAGCACCAAGCCTTTATGGTTATCATGACTTTAAATATATTTTTATTGTAAGCCTAAGGGGCATAATCCTAGTACAGTATGTACTAAAAAACTCAAAAGGGAATTTTTATGACCAAAATTTCCCCAGGAGTTTCATTCTCCAAACATCTAAAAGAACCTGTCTAACAATAATAATAATAATAATATTAATAATAATAATAGCTGGTCTTTTGTTTCTCAAAAGCGCCAGTTTTCTAAAGAATTCACTAGAGCTCGAAACACTACAAAACGTGACAGTTCGACTTCTATCATTCATATACCCTTAAGTT